GAAAGAAAGAAAGGAGAAAGAAAGAAAGAAAGAAAGAAAGAAAGAAAGAAAGAAAGAAAGAAAGAAAGGAAAGAGAAAGGAAAGAGAAAGGAAAGAGAAAGAAAGAAAAGAGAAAGAAAGGAAAAAGGAAGAAAGGAAAGAGAAAGAAAGAAGAAGGAAGAAAGGAAAGAAAAAAGAAGGAAGGAAGGAAGAAGGAAGGAAGGAAGGAAGGAAGGAAAGAAAGAAAGAAAGAAAGAAAGAAAGAAAGAAAGAAAGAAAGAAAGAAAGAAAGAAAGAAAGAAAGAAAGAAAGAAAGAAAGGAGCCATCTGCCTTTTATAAAGGTGGCTGATCTGGAGTTAAGTCTCTTCCTGTAGGAATTCTTATCTACTCTTAAAAGGTGAACGACAAAAACAGTTGCAGTCCTGAGACTTGACAATGGACATTGTTGCTGGCAGGATGGCCATGAATGAAATCTGAATGATTAAGCTTAAGCCTTCTGCTTTGAAATACGATGACAATCCCGGGCTCCCTCTAATGGAATTATACTACGGACCCCAAGCCTCGGCTATTGTCCGCAGTTTGAGCTTGACTTCCTCCATTCTGTGCCCGATCGCTCTCTTTTCTTAAGGCTACTAACCTGCCCCCCAGGGTCTGAGGACACAAAACAAAGAGTGCCAGCAGACGAAGCAGAATTGCATTCAACCCACAGATTTATTTTTTATTTATTTTATTTTATTTTAGCAATAAAGTTATTTCTCCGTCATCCGACGGAAATAGATGCTGCTAAACATAGCCGCACAGAAGTGGGTCCGCCTGGAAATAACTATATTTTCAGGCAACGGAGATGGTCCCCCTGAAAGGAAGATGAATTAATGTAAAATTATGCCTCGAGCCAGCTTCGAGAGGGGAGAAAAAAAAAAGTAGACAACCCTCCTGCCTACAGAGAGAGAATCCTACAAAGGACCATCTTTGCAAGACGGGGACCGTTCTTCGCTTCAAGACTGTTTTATAACACCCTGGGGATTATGGGTTTCAAGATGCCTGGAAAGATCTCTTCAATCCGCAGGAAACATTTCTTCTGCCTCGTGACCTCCAAGCAACTGAGATTCAGGGTGACATTTGCAGTTAAGCTCTTGTGTTTCTGCTTTTCTGGACAACCTCTAACCTCTGTATTTCAAGTTGTTTGCAAAAAGACCCCAGAGGATTCTGGGAAGAGAGGAAGAGGCTACAGTGCACACAAGTCAGGGGTGAGAGGCTGGCAGGGCCTGATGGAAGTCATGGTTTTTGTTGTTATTCTTTCCATCACTTCTTTTGACTTGAAGGACAATGGTTGATCTCCGCAGCTGCTTCTTTGAGTCCTTGTAAGACACCTGCTTATACACCCAGGAGAAATATCTGCCACCTCGGATTCAAGCATCTTCCATAAGCATCATTAATGAAGAGAAGGACGAGGGGGGGGACATGAGAGCAGTGTTCCAATATCTCCGAAGCGCCTGAAGGCAGGACAAGAAGCAACGGATGGAAACTCATCAAGGAGAGAAGCAACCTAGAACTAAGGAGAAACTTCCTGACAGTGAGAACAATTAACCAGTGGAACAACCTGCCTTCAGAAGCGGTGAATGCTCCAACACTGGAAGTTTTTAAGAAGAGACTGGACAGCCATTTGTCAGAAATGGTGTAGGGTTTCCTGCCTGAGCAGGGGGTTGGACTCGATGACCTCCAAGGTCCCTTCCAACTTTACTATTATTATTATTATCAAGGTCTTCTCTAAGGATACTCGCCTTCACATTACGTCTCAAATATATAAGCTTTAACTTACATGATTTAACTAATAATAATAATAATATAATAATAGAGTTGGAAGGGACCTTGGAGGTCTTCTAGTCCAGCTCTCTGCTCAGGCAGGAGACCCTATACCATGTCAGACAAATGGCTGTCCAGTCTCTTCTTAAAAACTTCCACTGTTGGAGCACCCACAACTTCTGGAGGCAGGGCCGAGTTTGAAGACCCCTGGCATAGATGGTTGATTATTCATCCAGTAGGACAATTATCTCTGAATAGAGATTGCTCTGCTAAACAAGACTGACACCTTCTGGGCTTCTCTGAAACGGCTGCTTGTGAAATTACAGGTAGTCCTTGATTTATGACCAAAACAGGGTCCGGAAAGTCTGTCAATAAGCGAGGTGCTCATTGAGTGAGTGGCATCCAATTTTATGACGTTTTTGCTGCAGTTGTTAGGGGACTCACCGCAGCTGCTAAGCAAATTATTTATATGTTATGTATATGTCGGGGTGTAGGTCGATACATATGTTGTATATAGTATGTTTAGGTGTGTGTCATGTATGTGTTGCACTTTGAGAGCGGGCAACTAAATTTCATTTTTGATGTGTGTCATTGTGCCCACAGTAAAAAATGACCATAAAGGTTATCTTATCTTATCATCTTATCTTATCATCTTGTCTTGTCTTTTTTTGTCTTATCTCGTCTTATCTTATCTTATCTCATCTTATCTTATCTCAACTCATCATACAGTATCTTATCTTATTTTATCTCACCTTATTTTACTATCTTATCATCTTGTCTTGCCTTGCCTCGTCTCATCTTATCACCTTATCGTATCATCTTATTTTATCTTATCTTATCTTATCTAAATCCAGCTTCTCCCATTGACTTTGCTGGTCAGAAGCTGGCTGGGAAAATCGCCAATGGTGATCACATGACCCCAAGGGACCCCCCCACACACACACACACAACTGTCATGCCAGTTTCCCAAAAGTCCAATTTTGATCATGTGATTGCAGGGATAGTGCAACAGTTCTAAGTGCAAGGACCCGTCGTAAGTCACTTTTTTCAGCACCGTCATAACATCGCACCGTTACTACACAAATGGTCATAAGTCAAGAATTATTTCTGCACGATTGCAATTTATTTTCCACTTGCACGTAGCAAAGCCTCCATTGCGGAGAGACGTTGGGACTCCGTGATGCTTCGTGCACACATTTGTGTCATCTTCACGGCAGCCCTGTGTGACCTGCCTCTATTCTGTAGACGTGGATTGGGGGTAATTAGGGTTCCTTATCTGGGCTGTTAGAACTAACTAGAGGCAACTGATAGATGGCAGCAAAATTAGGCTTTTGGTATCTCTTGGGTCAGTATCTAGTGGCTGACAATTCTTTGCAAGCAAGATCTGGGCGCCTAAATATGGAGCAACCCAACCCAGACCCCCAAAAGGGGATAAAAATATGGATATTATCAACCCATGGGGACAAAACCCTTAGGAAATTCCCCACCCATGTTAAAAGTGGGAAGGGGAAATTGGTTGATCAGAGCTGGCTGGCTGGCGGAGGAAGAGAACGCCAAGAGCTGCTGAGGCTCTTAAATTAAAGCATTAAGTGGTTTAAGTTTAAAGGTGCTATTAAATTAATGCTACTATTAAAAAGCGAACGGAAGGGGGAGGAAAAAAAAAAAAAACCTTTGCAGCCATCCTCGCCCCGCCCCCTCCAGCTGCGAACAGCCCCGCCCCCTCGCCTAGCACCGCCCAGCGGGTCCCTGAAGAGAGAATGACCTTCTTCTCAGCGGCGGCCTCGCGCCTGCGCGGTTCGGCCTCTTCCCAGCAGCCTTTGCGGAGGGCACTCTGCGGGCGCTTCTTAGCAGCCGCAAGATGGCGGACGTACCTGGTGAGTCTTCCTCGGGGGCGGGAGACGCCAAGGTGACCCCCCCCGGCTCCCTTGAGGTCTAAAAGTCGCCTCTTTCCGCCCGGATAAACCGGGGGAAGCAACCCGGAGGCGTTTTGGGGACGTTTGGGACTTTAGCACCCATGAGCCCCGCCGGTTGGGGCTGATGGGCTTTGGAGTCCAGTGCTGGTCTTGGGGGGGGGGCATAGCATGCCAGGCAGAAAGGCAATAGGGGAAGCTTGGTTTTATCCCCCCCCCATCCCAAGTTCTATGCTGTCCCTCCCCCATAAATGCAGAGGGAAAAAATATGGCTTGCAATAGTTGGGGGGGGGGGAAAGTGGAATTTTCCTTAAAATATATAAAAATATTATTTTTTTTATTTTAATTTCTTAATAAATAAATTTCTCCTACAATAGCTTGGGGTGGAGAGAAGGAGGTTAAGCTGGTAAGGGTCTTTTTTTTCTTTCTCCCAGGTCTCTAAAAAGGACATAAATCTTATTTTTCTTAAGTACTTAAATATGCTACTTTTACCTGGTGCAAACAGAAGTGGGTCGACATATTATATATTATATATTTATTTTTTAAATTTTTATGCTGCCCGTGTCCTCTACAAGGCTACATGCTCACTTCGTTGACTTAATTTCCATCTCAGGTTAATGCAACAAGAGAGGTTAGTTATAACAAAAAGGGAATGTTTTGTTCTGCTCGTGAATGACTTAAGCAGGCAGACAATCCTGAGTTACATGGATCTCCTGACAATTCATTAAATGATGTATTCCTCTTCCCATGTTTTGCATTCCTTTTTTTTTTTTAGTACCTATTAAAAATTTGAGGCTCCTGGATGTGAAACTGGGTCAGCTGCCCACCTGGATAGCATCACTGAACTATACCCCCAGAGCATTTCTGGAATCATGCAAGAGAGGTTAGTATTTGGAAAAATCTTACTTGGGGGCGCGAGCAATATTCCTTAGGAATTTACAAGAGGTACGTTGGAATTTCCATAAAAAGCAGCCTTTCAAAACTGCATTATTAATTTCCGAATTGCATTATTACATTTGCGTCGATGGTGCTGTGGCTAAGAATATATGCAGCTAGTCAAGACTACTAAATTCGTGGAAGTATTTTGGCTTGTCAGTAAAACGATGGGGAAAGATAGGGAATTGCCTGCAGATGTTGATCAAAATATGGACTCGCTGCTAAAAAAAATTTCCATTGAATTCTGCAGCGTCAGGTTGAGTTGCAAGCCTGCTTCATCTTTGTCGTAACTCTTGAATTTGAGCTCCTCTCCCGTGCCTCTAAATTGGCATTTTTAATGTGTTCTGTACATTTGATCAGTTATTGCTGGTTGAATCGTTAAGATTTAAGTCATACAACTTTTCTGGTTATTGAAAAAAAAAAGGAATTAAGTTGTGGAGCTACAGCCTCAAAAGCTAAAAATCTCATTTATCCTGCTGAGTTTAGTGGGAATCGCCTTCCTGGTTAAAAAATGTTCCCCAACTGTGGCTACAGGCTGACCTTTTTTTGCCCATCATGTACGACAATAGGAGCCCAAAATTTCTGTTGTTAAGCGAGACATTTGTTGAGTGAGTTTTGCCCCATTTTACAACCTTTCTTGCAGTTTGTAAGTGAACCCCTTGCAGTTGTTAGCTTAGTAACAAGTTGTCCAGTGCACTGGGCTTCCCCATTGACTCTGCTTATCAGGTCACAAAAGGGCATTGCGTGACCTCGGGACACTACGACCGTCATAAATAGGAGTCAGTTGCCAAGCCTCTGCCTGTAAATCGCATGACTGTGGAGATGCTAAAAAGATTGTATGAAAAATGGTCATAAGTCATTATTTTCAGTGCCGTCGTAACTTTGAACGGTCACTGAACAAATTGTTGTAAGTCAAGGACTGCCTATATTTTCGTTGCCACTAAAGGTATATTTTGCTCCTCTCTCCCCTTCCTCCAAGTTTTTATTATTAATGACTTCTGATTACTCTTGATTTCTAAGGTGGGTTTCTACTTTGATTAGGCCACAACAGATTCTATTCAAAATACTGGGAGCCGAAGAGATGTGGCATCAGCGGTCCTGCCATGTTATTAACCGCTTACGTGGTTTTCAGCTATTATTTAGTGTATGATCGCCTCAGTAAGTAAAATGTGTTGTTTTTTTTAAAATTACACTATGTTCACACAACGTGCCACAGCTCTGTGTAATGAGTGGGTGGGATGGCAGGCATTTTTAGCTGTGTTCAAGGGCTGGCTGTTTGAGTATTTTAAAGAAAACTGCGATCTAACCAAAGCTGGTTTTGATTATTCAGAGGAAGAACGCTGGAGAAAATATCACTAAGATTTTCCCCCCGACAAGAATACAAGTCCTCTTGCTGTGATCAGTCAACTACAGGCAACTGACCTCTGTACGCTGAGACCAATAATAAAATAATTCAATCTGTGTCTGGGAGAACTTATTTCAAACACTAGAAGACAGATGAGTGAGGATACAAAATACCTTTTAAAAAATTATGAAAACTAGTAAATATGGGAAGGTACTAATAACTAGCTTCAAGATCTGAAAGGTACTAATAACTAGCTTCAACATCACAATCTCTTTTTTTGAAATGGCAGTTTTTGATTTTAAAAAAGTGCTAAGCTGGAACGCCTAGAAAATACACACTAATTCAGATTCTCAGAATAATTCGGTTTTGCGACTGGAATTACAGTATATATTTATAACAGCCTTCCAAACCAACTTAATGACAAAATATTCTGCAGCAGGGATCTTTTAAAAAACAGGTTTTTATAGAGAACTGCAGCTTACTTCTAAAACAGGATTTGTTTTTCTTGCTTTTTTTAAAGCTTTCGATTCATTTTAGAATTTTGAATGTCAGAATGTTATGTTCTTAGGGAACTTTTGATCATTTTTAGTGTGCTCTGCAAATGAAAATTGCATTGTGGTGGCATGTAGTTTGCATGTAATTAGGAGTTTTCTGCCTGCATTTGTTCAGCCACTAACCATGATAAAAAAAATAACTTTGTTTTTTTAAAAAAAGATACAAGCTATAGACGTAGACAAATTCAAACTGGACTCACTCTTCCCCTGATGAACAAGATGAACAATTCCATCTTGAATTAGCCTTCGGCCCAGCCCAGACAAGGAACACAAAGATGCAGAACAAAATAGAGCTGGGCAATCGCTCACACACACACATTTATCATCTTCTGCCATAGTCAAGGACTGTTGAGAGAACAGGCTAAACACTTTCAAAGGAGTAGCTCCACCCTTTTGAACCAAACATCCCTATCCCAAATGTTTTTATATTTTAGAAGGCTTGTGGATTAAGTTTGCTTCTTCAAGCTGTGAACAAGGAGAGGCACTAAGTTCTAGCCTTAAAAATTAAAACAAGGAAATACCAAAAAAAAAAAAAGTAGTTGCAGATCCAAGTATTCCTTTCACTGGCCAGTCCTTCGGTGCAGGTATAAAAAACAGATGGTTCAGTCATTCAGGACAATAGAGATAATTCGGCTCGTAAAGGTATATATAAAAATGCTGTAAGGTCCACTGATTCATTGCCCACTAAGGAAGGCCAAATGTCCTTTGGTACATCTGTTGGCATAATGTCCTTTTTCACCACACTAAGAAGAAGACAAAAACATTGTTGCTCAAAGTACATATAACTGGGAGATTTTAATGAATCCTTTAATCTGAATATTCACGATTGGATAAATGCTTTTTTCCCCTAAATAGCCCACTCTAAAAAGTCCAGAATTAGAAACATCCACACCTGCCTCTTTTAAAATAATATTCTGATAGTGCAAATCAATGGACTTGCTGTTTCGTATCCCACTGTTTGCAGACAGTATACATGTATGTGGACGTGAAAACCACTACACGGCTAAATTTGGCACTGCAGTAACTACTGGAGGGAAAGCTACGGCATACCACACGGTTCCACCAAGATCCGTTGATGATTTCAAGCTAAAATTTTCCAGCCCCGTTCTATTCTTAGCCTTCATTCCCCATTGTCTACATTAGGTTACAATCCTACAGATTTTTTTTTAGATTTCGTAGAAGTAGGGGGAAAAAAATCTTATACTTTTTTCACTTTTTACAAAGAAGACGAGAGTGTGATTTCTCAAATTCCGCATTCCAGAATCGGGGCTATCCAACGTTCAAACGGCGACAACACGTGTATTATCGTCTCGCCTCTAGAACTGAGGATTGGCCAGTGGAGCTGCACCAGTCAGCCTCCCTTCTCCCTCTACGTAGCTCATTCCCTACTCAAACTCAGCCTTGGCAGCTCGCCTTACCTTATAACAGGTGACTTGCTCCAGGGGGCGTGGGCCTCTGTTCCCGATGCTGTTGTTTTGGGACTGCATGACCCCAATGACCTGTGGGGTTCTCTGTTGGTTGGGAGAAGAGTTCTGACTCGTCAGCTGGATCAGAGAGGATGACCTTTGCAATGGCGTGTTGTTTTGCTGAAGAGGGAAAGCAGCCCACAGAATAGGTAAGCAGCTTCGCAGCAGTTTACTAATATCAGACAAGAATCTCCAAGAGTGTTGCCCCAGGCGTGCACCTATGGCGCCAAAAGTAATCCACACCTCCCTAAAAGGACCTCACGACAAGCTTACAGTGTAAGGGAAACATCGTGAATCCTTTCAATCTTCCCCCTAAATCTGCTGTCCTGGATCTACCAGGTGATCGGACTGCAAAAAAGCAGCATTTAACTGATGGTGCTGGGACTTTCCATCTCTACCTCAAAAGCTCAAGACAAGAAGAGAAGAAATTGTGCCTCTATTAAACATTTCCGATGTTCTATTCCCTTAGAGAATAATAACAATATCTTTCTGTAGGGTGTTAGAATCCTAAGGCAATTTGATTGCAGTATTTAGCTGTAGTTTTAGCCTATGCTTGTAGTGCTCTTAATTAAAAACAAAATAAAATTACTCCTCCTCCTCCTCTCTGAATGTCAGGGGTCCATTTCTCTCCCCCTCCGCAAATCCTTCTTCAGTCCCACTATAACAGGAGAAGCATCTCTTAGCATCAACAAAAGCATACAATTTAATGATTCAAACAGACCCAGCTCTCTTTAAGTTAAATTCAAAGCTGATGAATCTTCAACCTTTTAAGGATGGCCTGCCAAAGCAACTGAAAAAAAGCAGGATGGCTTACTTTCTGTTGTGGCTGCGTCGGTGGTGGCAGTGGAGGCTGCTCTGTGGTTCCCATAGGAAGTTCGAACCGAGGACTGTTTTTCAAAAGAAAAAAAGGACATATGCGTATGGAAAGATAGGGAGACCAAACTGATAAAAAAAAGAAACCCGCTATTAGAATCCTAGTTCTTCCGGGGATATTTTAAGCTCAGCTTCAGAAATAACGCCCTCTAGAAAATGCGACTTTCTTTTCACGCTATGTCAGGTGGAGAATTTTAGGACAGATCTGGAAAATACTCACTGCATGAATTTGCACGCTGGGCCTTCTGGACAGAAGCCTACCAGGTAATTCACACAAATAACACGCCGTGTGTGTCTGTGTCTGCAGAGAGGACCTACAACATAAAATGGAAGGATTGCAGAAGGATTGGGCAAGACACACAAATCTTCCCCCCCCCTCCTTAATACTAGCCTCATCAAAGGCAAACTGAGATTTCTTAAGTTTTCAAAACAGCAAGAGTGGCCCAAATTCAGACCATTCTCTCTGAACTATAAGTAAACTTTTCTCCAAAAGCAAAGATAGGTTTTCAAGGAGCCAAATGTCAATTCAGAGGCTTCTGCAAGCTTGGCCTCGTTGCTCAAGAGGTCTGTATCAAAGGCAGCACAGCTATCAACCGTCACAAGCTGAATACCTACCGTGTTTACAAAAACCTCGGTCATACCAAGGGCAGTCTTTGATCTTAGATTCTGGGTCGATATGCAAGAATGGACACTCCTTGTTGCTGCATTCCCCTGCAACAGACAATCACCAGCTTCAGCCCGCCAGGTCATCAACGCAATTTCAAGAGCAGTTGCAAAGTATGAAGAAAGTCGAGCAGTTTCTTAACAGCCATCACCTTCATTACCAGTCTTTTGAAATATAATATTCAATGTGCTAAAACTTGCACACTTACACATTACCAGAGCAGGAGTGTAAAGAAACTGGCCGTTTAAACATTAAGCATCATATCAAAAAGTGAAAGCAAGGATGCTACCAGTGCACGACTGACCACCCATCAATCATTTGTTCCATTTAACATTCAAGATACCTAATCAAAATGTCACAGTACAGCAATAGCCAATTGACCACCTTGCAAAACAACACACTTCTCATTTCTTCCATCGACATCTCCAGATTATAAAACTCATCACCGTTAAGGTTTGCCAGAATGGATGAAATGGATTCCCCCTGCAAAAGTCAAGATTAAAAAACAGTAATTCGTTATTACATTTTTCCCTTACCGTATTTTGAATAGAAGTAACATTCTGGCATCTTGGTCATGTCATACTCGTGCAAGAATTCACACTGGTCCCCTTTTTTGCACAGGCCTCGTAACCAGTGTTTACAAACTACCGTCTTTTCACCACTGATGTGCCGGAATGGACACATCCCCCCTGCCGTGAAATACAAAAAAGAGATATGAAATATGGTGAGGAATCAATACAAGATGCCTCTAAGCTATAATGTTGCTTTAATTTGCAGACCTAAAACACCAAGGCTAAAAGGGAATAGCTAAGCTACTTATTTTTAAAAAAAATATATTTATTCGGTAAATTCAGCCTTTCTCCAGTAGAGCCTTCAAGGCCAATATAATGACCAAGAGTTATACAACATTTTAAGACTAACATATGCTATGACATCTTGACGTATGATTTTTATTCTGACAGCTCAATGTGTAAACCAAGATTAAACAATGAGGCTCTGAATGTAGGTGATGAAAAAAACTTTTCTTGGGCAATTTTTCCTCCCTCCCCATAAAACATGAGGAATTTCTGTAACTTGAAAACTGGCTATATATAGCATATTATTGTCTTCTGTTAATTTATGTGATAGAGAGCCCTCTTATACACACCTTGGGAGAGAGGGCTGCCTTTTATCTACATTCTGTATAAAGCATTATATAAATACTTACACACTGATAGACTAAAAGCTACTTAAAGATTCACAAGAAGTGAGTGTAAAACAGATTATAATTGTTTCATTCCTCCCCTCTCTTTCAGTCTTCTAATATATCTGCAGTCACAGCTTACCTTTCCCACAAGCTGCCTTTAAAAAAAAATCACAGACGGCAGCACCGGACTCTGCGAAGAAAGAGGCACAATATCGCAGTTACAGTTTAATCAGATTTTTTTTAATGATCAGTTCCTTTTTCCAGGGGGGGGGCAAACACACCTAACACTCCCGGCTGCTATTATCCCCACAACAACCTGTGAGGTGGGTTATTTATTTCTAATTGAATTTATTAAATTTTTAATCCCACCTTTCATGCACGCACATACACTTCTCACAGTGGCAAACATACCTAATGCTCCTTCCTCCTCCCATTTTCCCCCACAACAACCCTATGAGGTGGGATGGGCTGAGAGAAAGGGACTGACCCAAAGTCACCCAGATGGCCAGGTATACAGGTAGTCTTCAACTTCGTTTAGTAACCATTCTATTTTTCCCACGTCCACTGCAGCATCCCCATGGTCATGTGATCCAAATTCAGACGCTTGGCAACTAACTCATATTTTCGACGGTCTCAGCGTCCCGGGGTCACGTGATCCCCTTTTTACGACCTTCTGACAAGCAAAGTCCAATGGGGAAGACGGATTCCCTTAAGAACCGTGTTACGAACTTAACAACTGCCAGCGATCCGCTTGACAACTATGGCAAGGAAGGCCTTTGACAAACGTCTCGCTTAGCAACGTGAATTCTGGTGGCGGTCGTAAGTCGAGGACTACCTGTATGTCCTGCCCTAATTTGTGCCTTGATAAAAAAGGAAAGGGAATTTTTATTTATTTTACTTGTTTACGTTTATTCGCCACCGGTCTCGCCGCGGGGCTACTCTAGATAGCTTGTAATAAATAATAATAATAATAATAATAATAATAACAGCAGCAGCAGCAGCAGCAGCAGCAAAAAGGAAGAAAAACAGAAGCAACAGCCATGGGAAAAGGAACCCAATGGGAATTCCACACCAGCCCCCCCATTCCTGCTCGTCTCCCCGCCTGCTTCAGCTTCTTTTGCTTCTTCCTCTTCCCTCCTCCTCCCTTCTTCCTCTAGGGCAGGGCTCTTCCAGCTTGGCCCTTGGATGACTTGTGGACTTCAACTCCCAGAATTCCTCAGCCAGCTTGCCTGGCTGAGGAATTCTGGGAGTTGAAGTCCACAAGTCATCCAAGGGCCAAGCTGGAAGACCCCCTGCCCTAGGGTCAGGCCTGTCAGCGTGAGGACCCAGCCCAGGCGCGGCCGTCCAACCCATCCGGGTGACGGGGAAAAAAAAAGCCCAGGGATCCAGTAGGGCGAGAGGGAAGGCCTCTGGCCGCCCCCCCCCTCACGTACTGTCCATGCCCGGGAAGGGCAGCGGCTGCGCGCCCAGCTGCTGCTCCACCGCGATCTCCAAGTCGAACTTGATGTGGTCCACGCTGGCGATCAGCTCCTGCATGGCGGCGGAGGAGGAGGAGGCCCGGGTGAGGCCGGCCGAGGGGGCGAGAAGGGGCAGCGGCCTCCACCCGGGGCCGCCTCGACTCCGCCGGGAAGCGGCGCTGAAGAAGAAAAAAAGTGGCCGAAGCGCGGTAAAGGGGGGAGGGGGAGGAGGAGGAGGCGGCGCGCGCCGCCTGACGGGCCAATCGGGACGCAGCCTCGCGCGCAAGGCAGGCTGGGACTCGCGTCGCGTCGCGTCGCCACTCTCGCGCGTTGGGCCAATGGGGGAGCGAGGCGGGCTTTGCCTTCAACCTGCCCTCATGCACCCCCTCGTCGCGGGCCAATCCAAAGGAGGTCCGTTCTGATTGGGCGATGGAAAGGGAAAGATTGGGGGGGGAATGAATTGGCCTATCCACGCACACGCCCGCGGAGGGCGTCCCTCCCTGAGGAGAAGCTCCGCCCTCTGGTGGGCGTGGAGAGCGAGAGGAGGACAGAACCGCGCTGGGCGAGACGCGGGAAGGAGGGTGGGGGTCTCGCTGGGCCCCTTTTTTCAAATTATAATATATATATAAATACACCCAAACTCGTTATTCCATATTTATTAATCTCATTTCTGTTCCGTCTTTCCTTCAGGAGCTCCTGCCTGGCGCTTCTCCCTCCTTTCTTGTTCCCCCCCTCTCAACAACAACCCTGCAAGGTAGGCTGCTGTGTCGGCGATAGAGGGAAAGAAGGCGCGAGGAACAGGCCCAGCCTGGCTTGAGGAATTCTGGGAGTTGAAGTCCACACGTCATAACAGGGCCAAGTGGGAAGACCCCTGCGTTTGAGCCTGGCTCTCAAGGCCTTGAGAAGAAGCTGGATAAAAAATAGGATTTAAATGCTTTTAAAGGTTTTCACGTAAACATATTTTCTTTTTTTTACATTATTTGTAGGGTGGCTCGTGCAAAATGTATCCTTGCCGCTTTGGATCATCTTCCCAGGAAAGCAGGCGACCTTTTTAAACGGCAATCCTAATTCCTCCGATCTGGATTTCAGCTTTTTCATCTGGAGACAAGAAAAAAAAGGGGGGGAAAGTATGATGTGCCGTGGTTTTTCTGCGGTATTTACCCAAAGAGGGTCTGTCTGTCCTCGGCTTTGTTCCGTGCACCGTTTAAGAGGCATTCCTGGGAAAAAACGGATATGGCCTCCAAGCTTACAATCCATAGAACTTCTGGACCGGAGGCTGATTAGCACATCCCGGTCAGTCTGTAAATTACACAACAGAGATTTGGAGGAGATGATGAGATCGTCAGAAGCCCTTTCTAAAGTGGAGGAGGAAGAAGAAGAGGAGAAATTTGATGCTGATGAAAGCTTTGGGTTGTTAACTCAGAAATACCCTCCCAAGCCCTTTTCTCGGGCACCTTCGGCTGATTTTCACAACTTACGGCTCCAAACCAAAGAACAGGAGGAGGAGGACGACGAAGAGGAGCTAGAAATAAAACCCAGAGGAGGTCGAAGAAATACCCCATACTGGTATTTTTTGCAATGCAAAGCCTTGATAAAGAAAGATAAGGTCATTACCTTGGCTATGTTTCTCTACCTTTTTTAGAAAGAGGGCATAATGAATGCCTGGAAGCACAAGGGAAGATCTATTTGCTTATTTATTTTTATCCTGCCTTTATGATTTTATAAGTAACTCAAAGTGACCCAGCATTCCTAATACTCCTTCCCCCTCCTATTTTGTGTCCAAAATGTAGTCCTATGGTCACAGGTGCCTTTGTGTGTGTGTGTGTGTGTGTGCGTGCAGCCATTGGAACTCTGAAACTGGATTGTATGTTTTTCAGCTGGTCCGTTGTAACTTCAAATGGTTGCTAAGCAATCAGTTGTTAAGTGAGGACTCCCTGTATTTACCTCGATTTTTTGCATCGGTGCAGTTTTGGTAGTTCGCACCTCTTGATCCTTTTCAGCGTTGTGGGGTTGTGTAGTTAACCTTCTTCCTAACCGTCTTCTCTGTAGCTGGCTGAAGCTCTTGAGCTCTTTGAGGTACAAATGCTGAAGGAAGAACATCTGCAGCCGGAGGAGTTCAACTACACGGTGCTGATTGGTGGATGTGGCAGGGTTGGGTACCTGAAGAAAGCCTTAGGGCTCTACAACGATGTAAGTACCCCAAGCCTAAGTTTCTTTCAAAGGGATTTTTTTTTTTGTCAAGACTTGATTTAAATTCACAAGAAAAAAAAATGGCTGGTTTAAATCGGTGATTAGAGAGCTCCACTTCAATTGGAAACCTAAATTATGTGTCATTTCGCACGAAGCTCCCTCCTACATTTCCTAAATAAACGCTGCCAATTTGCTGGCAAAGACTGCATTTGTTTTATTCCTGCAGTTAGACATCAAGTTATTTGTTTTATGCTCTTCTTTGTGATCTGTAGAGGAAGTCCTTTCCATATTCCCTCACAGCAACCATTTATAAGTTTATGAATGTAAATGACGCTCATAAATACTATGAAAGCATCCATTCTAAATGATGTTTAATAGCAAAGGTGACAGATTGCCTTAGTCGTGTCCTTGTTGAAGCTTTTTTCTTTTTACACTATTGGGAGGCAGATGAAAAAGCGAGGCCTGACACCTACGATTGCCACATACACCGCCCTGTTCAACGCCTGCGCAGAGTCACCCTGGAAGGACAACGGTCTGCAGAGCGCCCTTAAGTTGCGACAGGAACTGGTACAAAAAGGCATAGAGCTGAACCCAATTGCCTATCGATCTTTGTTGAAATGCTGTGCTCTGTGTTCAGATCTCCACATGTGCTTGGATATATTAAAGGTAAAAAGAAGAAAAGGGATCGTTAGTGTAAATTTATAATTGTTTGCAAAACTGTACCTATCAGCTGCCTTAGAAAGCTCCTATTCAAAATATAACATAAAATCTCCATAATAATTTATGTGCTGCCAGACCCTGGGTATAAATAAACCGTATCCTGTTCCACAAATGTTAAAAAGAAGCATAAGGGGAATTTCTGAGGTTGCAGTTGTTATGAAATTTATCCTTTGGAATTCATTGTTGTCTCACCCACTTTGGAATAGTCTGTATAAACCAGAACAGAAACTCCTGCTTGCATGTATACAAAGAACAATTAACCCGTGGAACAACCTGCCTCCAGAAGCGGTGAATGCTCCAACACTGGAAGTTTTTAAGAAGAGACTGGACAGCCATTTGTCCGAAATGGTATAGGGTTTCCTGCCTGAGCGGGGGGCTGGACTAGATGACCTCCAAGGTCCCTTCCAACTTTATTATTATTAAATGGGTGCTGGGGTTCTAGAAATAGGCTGAATTTTTCTGGTCTTCACAAGATTTAAATTACGGCAGGATTCACATGTTGCAGTATAACCACATCAGGTTTATAAAATAACCCTGATTCATACAACATACTAAGCTAAAACCAGACATAGTATATGGTGGTTTAGTACAATTGGTGAAGCCAGTTACAGGATGGTAGTTTTGTTGCCTGAAACACGTGAGTGTCTGATCTACAGGTGACCTCAGCCAAAGAACACATCCTTGAATTTTTTTAAAAAAAAGTGATGGCAAATTTCTAAAGATCTGTTCCCTGGAAATGCCGTATTTGGGTTACAGAACTGCTGATCTTTTGTTACACGTTTACCCTGAGGAGTAATTATGGAATCCTTACCTTTCCTTAGGAAATGGTTGGAAATGGCCATCGAATCACCACGGATACTTTCAACGTCTTGCTCATGGGGTGTATAAACGACAAAGAGAACGGGTTCCGCTACGCTTTACAGGTCTGTTTCCTGCTTTTTTGCTCCCTTCCAAGGGTGGGTACAAACCCAAGCTCTTTCTGCCCTCCCCGGTGCATGCTGACTGGGGAATTCTGGGAGTTGACATTTTAAAGATGTCCAAGGGGCACTTATTTTCATGTTTGGTGGTTATGTAAGGAAGCACAGAGTTTTTGGTGTATGGTTTGGGAGTGGGTAACAGAAATGGGTATACAAAATATTCAATATAAACCTGAGACACTGTTATTAGGAATTCTTGAAAATAATGTTAGCAAAGAGGATATGTTTTTATTTACTCATGTGGTTACAGCGGCAAGAATT